CACGCAGAATGGGTGGACAATGTTAATACCAGTGTACGCTATACAGAGTAAGAGCCTCAAATACGCCCTTATTGGGGCCCGGGGTTCAACCCTACCCCGGTAGGGTTTAAGGCCAAAGGCCTTCCGTTGAGGCCTTTGGAAGAACCAAAGTACTAGTGCAGCTTGATCCTGTGAGAGAGAGAGAGTCCTCGTATTCTGTGCGTGCTTTGCGTACTTCTAACACAGATACATCCCGATGCTTTTCTCTATTTTTTTCCGCGCACCAGTGCAAAATACTGGGCCTTGGTGTTTGAGCCGGTTCAAGAAGAATATCTGGGAGCACTCACAAGAGCCGTCCTGTCACTTCTCTCCTGCGAGTCCTTGACTTCCCAAAAGGACCGGGCTAAGTACACTTCTGTTTGTGCGAAGAAGGACTCATTTCACAGATTTGTTTGAGGTGTGTTTGGCGTGTTGCCTGATTCCTTGCGTGTGTTTAAGCAAAGCAACCCGTAGATGTGCAGCGTGATCATGGCACGTGTTTTTGTGCTTCTTTTGCTGCACATGTTTATTGCACATCTCCTGTGCTCCAGTGACCAAGGGAAGCCGCGTTTGGCCGGACCCCAGGCGCCATGTTTCGCAGCTTAGACGTCTCGAGGAGATGGGCCGCCTCTGCATCACCATGTGCCTGATCGGGGTGGGCTGCACTGTGGGGGCGAGCCTGCAGGGCTCCTGCTTCAAGATCTTCAGCGAGATGCAGACCAGAAAGTTCAGGCTGGGACATTTTCTTTCCCCGCGCTAGGCACCCTGGAAAACGGGGGAATTTGGGGATCTTGGTGTGAGCTTCGGAAGTTCTTGTGTAGCTTGGGATCAGTCAAATGGAGGAGCATGCGGTGGGCAACGGGAGATGCATCGGAATAGTTCAGACCTCCAGATTCCGATCTCAACATTCTGGGTGTCGCGGCGTGCATATGGCAAAATCAAGATTCAGCAGATCAAGGCGATTTACATGGAGTCCGGGTGAAAAGCGTGGCACTGAGCCACCCCTGAGGGTCCTGTACTTCGACTATGTGCTTCACCAAGATGTGAGCTGGTTCGACTGCAAGGCAGGTTCTCTTTTCTTTTTTGGTTACAGTACTAGCTGGCTCTGGCGTGAATCTTGACGCACGCAGCATGCAGTCTAAAGGTTTTTGTTTTATCTTGATGCATACTCTGAGGGGTTGGAATCATCGCCAGTTTTGAATATGTCATTGATAATTTCATGGAGATGGACAGGCAAATGCCCGCCCACAAGAAGAATTGAAGAGTCGCAAATTGCCGGGTTAGCATTCCGTAATATTTGAAGCATCAACCGCCCTTTACTATAATGATGGCACAACAACCCTAAATGCGAGATTGATAGTTAACCAGATTCACCAAAACTATGGCGCTCGCTCACTTAACGGGGGTACACTCTGTTCAACCATGACGGTCTGTTTTTGGGATGCATGAGTTCAGGTTGGTAAATCCTTGGCAAATTTTGATATTTTAGTTAGAATTAGTATCCCTTTCAGAAACACATTTTGCTGAATTTCAGGTTGGAGCCAAAGGTTTCATCAACATGAGTGTGTCTATTTTTTTTCCTGGGGAGCCCAGAATGGTGGTATCCCTTTTGTTTTCCTTTAGAAACAACCAACATCTGGTACCCCTAAAAGCCTTCCTTTGAGTTGAAAGGTTCAGTTAGCCAAAGGTACCAGCAATTGAGTTCCAAACATATTGCAGAGTCTTCCTTTGAGCACTTGAGTTGAACACGTTTCCAGAGCAAACAACGCCAAAAACAACCAAACGCGACGCGCGCGTATCTCCCGTGTCCGTCCGACCCCCGACCCCCCGCCCTTTCTGAGCGAGGAGCTAGGGGCGCTGCCCTCCGAGATCAACGACGACTTGGAGAAGATCCAGGACGCGCTAGGTGACAAGTTCGGCAACGGGGCGCCTCGGAGCTCGCTCGCTCGACCGCTTGGCTCCGCTTGGCTCTCCGCTTCGGAAGGGTTTTTGCGGCCGAGCAAGGGAGGGAGGGAGGGAGGGAGGGAGGGAGGGAGGGAGGGAGGGAGGGAGGGAGGGAGCCAAAATGATTGAATGCCCTTTCGTCAAAAGGGGCCCCCTAGGCAACAGGGCATATGTGTTACTCCCACTATTTCCTGGGTAATTTGAAGCTTGATTCCAGAGGGCAACACTTGAATGCCGGGGTAGAAGGACACCTTTATAATTTAGCTTTCTCAGCACCACTCCGTGGTTTGAACACCCAAGTCTCGCAAAAACCGGAAAACAAGAAACAGTAACCGGTCTTGAGATGGATAAACCCAACTAAGAAGTTCATTCCCGCAAGACCTCGAGAGAATTAATAAAACCAACTAAAACCTTGTCAGAAACCATTATTGGGCTGAAAGGAAGCAGTGTCAGAAACCATTATTGGGCTGAAAGGAAGCAGCAAGCGAGGAAACTAAAGAAGCAACAAACATCACGAAGGCCAACAAACCCAAACGCAAACCAAGCAACCATGGTTGCCTTTAACCATGTGTTTGAAGCCTTGGTTGTTTTGGCTTTTCGGTTTGTCGCTTTTTTAACATCCCAAGTTTTCGGCTTCTGATGTCGTTTTTTGGGCAGGCAGGGTCTGGGGGTGTTTGGTTGAGTTGTGTTGTTTTTCTTCGGCTATTCCAGGAATGGTCGATCACTGGTTTTTGTCTGGCTTTATTTTTGCTCTTTTGTTAAGTGTTGAGCTTTCGTTTTTTTCCTCCCAAGAGTGGTTGCGGACTTTTGGCTTCTTGGCGGTGTAGAGGGTTCTCAGGGTTTTGTGTATGCCCGTGCGTGTGTCTGTATGTGTGTTTGCTTGTGCGGTTGGGGTTTTGAGTTTTCTTGCCTTTTTGTGCATTGATCCGTTCTTTTTTGTCGAAACAACAGTGTGTGAAACAACGGAGCGCTCACGGTGCTGCTTTCGGTGGCTTTTGGGAGGCCGTGATTTTCGGGGCAAAAGCGGACGGGACTTGGCCACTTACGTTGGGCCACGGGACAGGACACATCTGGTTCTGGGGTCATTCTTTGGACGGTTTCTAGGGGTCAGGGTCAGACACTGGTGTTGTTACCCTTTAACCTACCACTAGGGGGTGACTTTGATGGTAGAAATACCGGCGGGACATTTTCGTGCGCAGCAAGCCATGCAGCCGAGACCCTTTCGACGGCTGTGAGGTGTCGGCCTTTGCTGGCTTCCTGGCGGGCTTCGCCTGCGCATTCGGCCTGGGGTGGCTGGTGGCGCTGGTGATGTGCTCCATGCTCCCATTCATGGTAGCACCTTGGAAGCACTCCCTCAGAGCAGCCAGAAGCTGCAAGGATTTTGTCCGATGCTGTAAATGCAACCAAGTCTTCCAAAGGGGTTCTGCGAGCTTCCATGGCATGGCCTAGGGGAGGGTAGCAGATGCTTGGAGGGCCAGTGATGGATGAAACTTCCAGATGTTACCCACTGGCGAAAGCTTTGTCGGACCAGGTGATCAATTCTTGCACGTTTGGTGGCCACTTTTTCACGACGTCATTTAGCCACGGTACATGCTCGAGCTGCGCCCCAAGTGAAGGTGGATATTTCCTTGCATGGGTCTTGTCACACGATTCGTTGTTGGTGGTGGTTGTTTGCAGCATGCAAGCACCGGGCAGGTGATCAATGCGACTGGGAGAAGCATGAAGACGAAGAATGCAACAAATATGTAATCTACGTGCATGAGGTTTGGTCAAATGGGGTTCTTCCCGCAAGGACGAAGCCCTAATTTCATTACAGTATCCAATGCTTCTTTCTCGGGGAAATAAGCAGTTGGCACCCAAAGAGAATCGCATAGTCGAAGACAAGTTACAAGAGAACCCACGAAGGTTGTTTGTGTTCCAAGCATATGGGTGTGGGTCAAAATTCAACCACCAGAAAATGGACCGCAGGTTTTGGTCCTTGGTTCCATTTACCAGGCTTCTATTTTGGGTACCCATGTTTGACCCACAGCCATATCAGTTCATACCGGAGACATACCCATTTCCATCTGGCGGTGCGATTTTTGTTGATCTCCAGGTGGGAGCCGCTGTCATGGGCACGGCCGTCCAGGAGGGTGCTCCCGAAATGGAGCAGCCAGTGGTGTCTGAAGAGTTTGAGGTTTTGCCATAGCTGGTAGCCACTACCAAGCTGGAAGCCACTACCAAACTGGAAGCCACTACCAAACTGGAAGCTCATCTGGCCCCGAAAGTGTCGGGCTCAACCATGCAACCGACCTCTCTTCAGACTGCGACCCATGCGTTGCTTGAGATACGACTCGGATTGACTTGTGCCTTGGTGGCGTCGTGAAGCCACAGCATGCGCAGGACCGTTTCTCAAGAAACATGACGTTCGTAGGTGTCCTTTTTGGTTGTTTTGCAGAGAACAGATGGCCCTAGTTGACCTGGTTGTTTCATCATCCCATCTATTTTCCCAAAAGGACACCTGTGATTATATGTTGATGTGGGCAACCCTGGAATTGTCGGGTCCCAAACTTGAACCTAGTTCGGAGAAACGACACAGACGATCCCACAGGCACCATGGTTGACTCTGGTTGAAGGGGCCTGTTTTCCAACTTTCATTGCCTTTTAGATACTGGCGAACTGGTAATTCCTTAAGCGGCCAAACTCCACGCATTTCTGTGTGACTTTGAATCGTTCCACGAAAACGGTTTCTTTGCTTCCGTTCACCTCACCCATCATTCCCCCGCCTCTCTGCCAGGAGATCCAGCTGGAGTCCCAGGGCTGGTATGCCAAGGCCGCCGCAGTGGTGGAGGCCGGAGGTAGCAAAGGGGAACTCCAAGACGAGCCAGCCCTGTGGATAGGCGAAATCCACTTCGCACCTAAGAATGATTCCCCTGTCGATACCAACCAAAAAATGGTTTCAACCATGGCTTCAAAGTGGTGCAGGATTTCATCCATCCACAGTATGGGTTGGTCTCAAAGGGGCCCCATGTTTGGTGCCAGACCCATAGAGTCATTCCAGAGTCCTAGTCAGGAAAAGAGTTCGCGCACCATTAGTATGGGGTGGCTTCGGTATCTGGGGGGTGGTTTCAAATGCACACTGAGAGCAGCCGTCATTTGTTTGACTGTGATATTTTAATGGTAATACCGTCAAACATGGTTGCTGCATAATTGTTCACGCCGCCCGGCCAACAAATCGCATGAAGAAGTCCTGGCGGGACCCAGCTGAAAAGCAGCGTGTGGTTCTTTCGCTGGCATGATCCACAAGAATGATCTTTGGTGTGTTGACCTGAGTTTTCCAACATTTGAGACTCCAGGTTGCACGAGCTCCGATCCGCCTGGGGCATTTGCTCCTCCGGGCATTCACACGAGAAACAGACGCATTTGCCGAGTGCAAAGAATGCAGCGTTGCATGTCCACTTTGTTTTAATCCTCATTGGTCCAAGGCTTCTCGCCTGGGCATAGGCACCTACCTGATGCACTTGAGCTGACCATATTCCTTGTAGTCTATTGTTAGCACTTACGGCTAGAGTCCTTCCAGTGGTAATTCCAGTGGTAATGCTGTTTCGTACCGATTTCGGGCATGGCGTGATGGTCTAGATCTGGTCAAACAGGAAGCGACTTGGTATGGCCGCAATGGTCATCATGAAGTGGTGATACATGGTTCGCGCAAAGGTGGTGTGGAAAGTTGTTGGCAAGTCCACTGTCGTACAAGTGCCCAAGCTGCTTTGCAGCTCTGCAGTCGACAGGTTTGCCAAAGTTTCGGATTGTGTGTTTTCTCTTGGTCTGTCACTGGCAAAGGTTTTTGCGCTGAACATGTGATGGTGAAGGGCGGCCGTCAGGTCTTATGGGCCTGTGGTTTTCACCCGGTGGAACTGTGTGGTTGCAGGAGAGTCTCGTTTCGGGCTGAATATGGTGGCGTGTCTAGCTACCTGTCCTCCTGTGGCAGGTCTTCGACATGAAGCCGCCTGTGGCGTTTTGTTCTTTTCTGGAAAGTACCCGCAAGGGTTGTGTTGGTGCACCGTCACTTGACGTTCGTACATCTATATATTTGGCTATGGCTCGCTGGCCTTACCCCGAAAATAAGCAGTGTGCAATATTACTTCCCGCTTTGAATATTGCATTTAGGACGGCTTTTGTGGGAAAGCGCAAGATATGTGGTAGTGCCCCTCTCCTCAAACTGAGCACCGACTACATTTGGGTTTCGCCTTGCCAAGTGCGCGTAGCGTTTTTAGGATGGTGCACCCAGTGAGGGCCAAACCATTCGGCGAAGAACCAGAAGTCGTGTGATTCCGTTTAGAGTCTCTCAAGTCTGAGTTCTTCACAGGGAAACGACCAGCGATTTTTTAATCTGGCCGGGGGTTAATTGCTTTTCCATGCTTTTCAACCCTCGTTCGTTTTAACAGCCACCCATTTCCATAGGTTTCCGGAGGCTTTTTAGAACGAATAATTCCTGGAAAGGGTCGGAAGGTATCCCTAGGACGAAGCCCAAACTTGCTGGCTCCCAGCCATCCCCTTAGCCTTTTAGTATTGTAGTGTTTAGTGGTAGTTCCATTTCGCCCACTAAAAGTTAGTCACTTTTTCGCGGGGGATCAGAAAACGGGCAGCCCAGCAGAGCAAAAGCTTCAGCCGCCGCCAGGAGTGCCTCTACGCCATGCGCACGGTGGTGGCCTTTGGGGGAGAGAACAGGGAGCTGGCGAAGTTCAAGGCGGCGCTGGTGCACACCCGGAAGGGCGGCATCAAGAACGGCTTCAAGATCGGAATAGGCGAACACGGGAAACCGGGGGACGGGCCACACAAACCGGACGTGAAATATGAGGCTGAAGTTGATTTTGGGGACCAAAGATGGAACCCTCGAGGACATGTTTAATGCGGAGATGGCCATGGCGAGGCTAAAGGCTTGGATTTGATTCTTACTGGATTGAACCGCCGACCTCCCGGCCCCGATGGTGATGTTGCTGCCAAGCCTTCAGGTTGGAGAGCCAGATGGATTGCGTTTTCGGGGTGGACTCCATGTCTCAATCAATTCGAGTGATTGCTGTGATCCAGACTCCGGCTCTTAGGGCCATGCGCCGTCTTGTCACTCACTTGGACTGAAGCTCTCGGGGAAATGCGGCTTCTGCCACAGCTAGGTTTCACTTTCGCTCAACTTGAGAATAGTTGGCACGACTGTTTGCTTGAAGGCCGGTGACAACCTATCATTCCCACACCTCTATAGTTCAAAGAGAGCCATTCGAAGGCCACATGAGGTTTTAATTGGAGTCTGGGCGGCTCGAACTTCCCGTGTTTGTCCTGCTTTGGCGTTGAAGGCCAAGGCATTCTCGGCAACATGGATATTTTAATGGATGTTGCCCGTCGCTCGATCTGGCTTTGTGGCCTTGCCTTGTTTTCGGTCCACCAGGGACCGTTTTGAGGCATGGGATACACCATGATGATCGTCATGTTTGGCTCTGCGTTGGCCTTCTGGTTCGGCATGACCCTGCGCTACCATGGCGAGCTCAACCCCTCGACCGGCAGGGAATGGCAGTTGCTTGGGCTATAGAGGTGAGAAAGACGACCCGCTGACAAAAACCGTGGAAAGAATGTGAATGGCTATGAGTTTTAAGTGAGGAACTGGCTGGTCAGCTTTCCTTTTCAATTCCTCTCATGGAAGCTTCCAATTGGCAATCCTTGCTCTCCCCCTCCCAAATGCTTGGTGGGCCCGGTGGGCATAAATCCCCACTGGTTTTTGATGCCCATCAGGGGATTCCTAGTTAAGATTCACACGCATATGAACCCTTGGCATGAGCCCGTTCATGGATTTATCTTCATTAGTCATTCATGAAGACACCCAACTTGGACACGGGTTCATCTATGGATATATACACAAATTCCGCATTCCGTTTTGGGATGCAAAGGTCTGGGTGTGTTGAAGCACGACACGGAATGCAGGTTGCTGTCGGTGAATGATTCAGAAAGGTCTCACATGCCACTGGCTTCGGATTTTGTAGCCACACCTTGGACTGTCGGGTCCGCCGGCCTCCAGTTTTCCCCGTTGCCTTTGCCCAGCAAAGGTTTTGACACCTCCATCGGAAGGGGACTTTAGTGCGGAACAATGCCAACCAAAGCGGAAGAACAGGATGGGCATTCGGAGTGGGGACACAAGCAAGAAGGGTCAATCTTTGCGAAGAACACAAAAATCCATGCGTCGGTTTTTCCGGCCTAAGGGGTTAAAGAAGCCGAGGCCGGGGAACATCATGGCCATCTTCTTCTGCATCTTCACGGGCAGCTTCTTCATCGGGAACCTGGACCCCAGCATCAAGGCCTTTCTGGCGGCCAAGGCTGCCGCCGGCCGCTTCTTCCAGGCGCCGTGGCTTTCGGTGGGGGGGCGCTTCGCTCCTTGGTTCTGGTGGGTGCCCCGTGGTGCTTGGTCACTGGGCAACTGGGAACGGCCTAGAGTCCCTAAAGGCCCTAAAGTTTCTAGAGTCCCTGTTGTCAACGTGTGGATAAGGGCTCTGGTCTTGTCCAGGGATAGACCCATTGAACCAATGCATTCTAGATTTTTGGGGGTCCATGCGGGAGGAGACAGCGTGGCCACTTTGTGCTCCCGCGAGTCATTCCGGAGACAAAAAAGGCCCAGTGTTGCACCCAGAGTTTTGTCCGGCTCAGAGCCGGCGGTCCACGTGTGTTTACCCGGGTTAGCAGACATCCAGGGTGCGGCCGAATGGCTACGCCACAAGGGAATGCCTTTGGATTAGCAAGGCAGGTGGTTTTATCATGGACTGATCTTGGTGAGCTTTCAATGTGCAGTCCGTGGCCTGCACATCGGTATTTGCCGCTGTGTTGTCTCTTGGAAACTGTCCCAAGACTACTCATAGAAGAGACCCAACAAAGTAACAAAGTCTCACCCAGAGGGGGGCACATTGCAGAATATGGACGATGAGTTTTCCCTTGGGATGTGGAAGGGCCAACATGATACATGCCAACCATGAAAGAGGGCCCCGGCCACTTTTCATGCATGTCATTTCGACCGTTTCAGTTGGGTTTTTGAGGCCAAAGAAAACCGCCCGGCGGGAACAACCCCAGAGTCCGTCGCGCAGGTGAAGGAAAACAAGCCCGCGGTGCAGTGCATCGCAAACGACACCCGGCAAGACCTGGAGAGCATCGAGCGGATGGACCTCCAGGCACTGGCTGACACATGCGAATCAGTGTGACTGAGACACAAATTTCTCTTTTGAGGGTACTCCTTGTTTGGGCTCACGGCGTCCTCAACGACCCCGTGGAGTTCTTTGTTTTTTGGACGTTCATCCCTGCGTTCATGCATCATGGTTCGGGGGGGGATGGGTGGGCGGGGGGGGAGGGGGGGTGGGTGGGGGGGTATGATCAGCACCCGCTCAACTGCTGCAGACCAGCCTGCTCTTTTACCGGATTACAAAATAACATGGTTCTGGGGGGGGGGTTGGGGGGGCGCATGATAAGCACACCCGCTCAACTGCTGCAGATGCGTCTTTCACCCCTGAGGCATTCACTGGCCCAACCTTTGGCTCCAGGACCATGGGTCATCATTTTGTTCTCGCTCTTTGTGTTGCGTACGTTCTGCTGCTGCGTGTCGCGTGTGCACCCTGCCCCATTGTTGAGTCGTGGTTCCAGGCATTTTGGACGTGTGATCCGTTCTTGTTGGACGCTCACTTTGAAGTTTTCGCTGGTAGTTCGTCTGGTCCTTTCGCGCATTTTGCGGCATCTGTTGGTGCGATATCTGCTCGAAGCCCTTTGTCCTGGTGTCGGTTACCTGCTGCACTGCCGCGTCTTCGCGCTGCCTGGCTGACGCTCTCGCGCGCCCGCTCCCCGCTTACCCCGGCTTTGCGTGCTGCCTGTTTTGTTCTATCCTGACGTTTGTTGGTCATCAACTTCACTTCTGCACCATCCTCAAGCCAGTGTGGCGGGCTTGCCATGTCTGCCGACGAAGACGATATCTCGCCTGGCCATCTTAGATCCTTTGCCTTTAAAAAAAAGAGGCCGGCAGCCTCAAGAAACGCGCGTGTGTTGGCCAGCAGCGCGAAGTGCTGCTATTCTCAGGCGATTTGGCCCTTTCTTGTCAAAGCCATGGTAAAAATGGAACAAAATAAACATGGTACGTGTCAACGATGCAACGAAATGTTCATAAAACGCATGAATTTTGGTAAACGTGCTTGGTCGCCATGGTCAAAAGCAGCGTGGTCATTAGCAACGCCGTGACCTTGTTTGGTGGCTTTAAAAGGAAACCACAAGAACACCACCATTTTGGCGGTCCCCTAAAAAAGACACCCATATGGGTAGCATCTTTTACTTGGACGGACTGGGTGGTTGTAGGGAAGTTACATTGATAGTTGACCAGGACAGACAGGATGCCAAGGCGATTATCTCATGGGCAAGTTTTAGCAACAGCCCGCGTGCGAAGCCCATCAACGTGCAACCATTCATAATGCGTCGCGATTTAAGTGAAGGGCTGATTGTACTTGCTGGACCAGGGCATAGATTTTAGTGGCTGACATCTATTGCTATTTGGTTGGCTCTTTGGACTTTCGCTTTTTGGGAATCAGTGGATTTTTCATTGGACCCACAAAAAGTTCAAACTTGTTGCAGAGGGATCTTCAGCATCCAAGAAGTGCGTGGCAGGACGTGGTCTTCTACTACCCGGCCCGGCCAGAAGTCAAGATCTTGAACGGCCTGTCGATGTCAATCACCCGCGGTCAGAAAGTAGCCGTGGTTGGCGAGAGCGGCAGCGGCAAGTCTACCGTCATGGCGTTGCTGGAGCGTTTCTACGATCCCAACACTGGCACCGTGCTGGTCAACGGCCAGGAGCAACTAGTTGGCGCGGTGGATGAGAGTCCTTGTGTGTGTGTGTGACAACTGGACATGTCCGACATACCTGTACAGTTGGTTAATGTTGGTTACATTGAACATCTTTGTTGTTTTGCTCCGTTTGTGGTAGCTAGCCCTACGCAGAAACTTCTGCTGACCTGCACAGGGTGACCGGTGGTGGTGATATCCCTAATTTAAGTAGAGGCTCACATGCACGCGGGCACTTTGAGCCCGTCTTGTGCAGTTTACGGCCTGCATTCCGAGAAGGGCCAGACAAAGCGAGTAGGAATTGTGTGGGCAACAGAATCGCACAAGTTTTGGCAATATTTGTCAGAATCATGCGCAGTTGCTGCTGGGTGCTCTAAACATGCACAAGCAAATGGCATAGAATTATGGTTGAAGGAGAAGTTAATTGAAGGTGTTGCTTCGTTCAACATTCCACCCGGGATTCAATATGTTCAGTACCCTTGACATTTCTTGAACACTCACCTGTGCTTGTTGCCAGCACTGACTTGTATATACTGTTTGCGTCGATTTGCAGGTCCAGCGATGGATCCTGTCACAAGGACCCCCCCCAGTTCCCCCTAAATCTACTAAAAGGGGCAATGAAAGGCAACGCAGGCCATGGCTTCCTAATCCCAAGTTATGGAGTTTGTTTGTTTGTGCCTTGCGCTTCCGGGATCCGACGTTTTTTTTTTTTTTTTGCCTAGGGCTGGTATTTGTTACTAGGGCTGGGGTGATTGGTTGGTTGGTTGGTTGGTTGGTAGGTTGGTTGGAAAAAAGAAAAACACGTCTACCTTGCGCTTCAGGACATGAAAAGCTTCAAAGTCAGCGCCCTGCGGCGCTGCATCGGCTACGTGGGCCAGGAGCTGATTTTCTCTGCATGACGCACTCGCCGCGTCGGTTGGGCACGCGGAGCGAAGAGCGAGCCAAGAATGTCTTGGAATTTTGCTTGGTGGCTCCTAGCCATCCGGTTCCTTAGCCTTTTGCTTCCCTTTAAGCTTTAAACTACGTCAGTAATCTGTTCCCCAAGTTCGGTGCCTCAACGATATCAGTTTGGACTGTTCGAGCAAGCTCAAAAGCGAGTCGCGACCGAACCGTTGGACCATGACGTGTTTTCCAGGAGCCGGTGCTCTTTGCGAGCTCCATCAAGTACAATATTATGCAGGGCCACCCCAACGCTTCCAAGGAGGACGAGAGAGAGAGAGAGAGAGAGAGAGAGAGAGAGAAAGTGCTAGACGCGAAAAAAACAGATACGATGTCAACCTCGGATTTACCCGGACCCTACTGATCAGAGGAATCTACCAAACATGAATTCATCCCACGTTAATTCGGTCTTTCGGCTGAATGGGGACTTGATGACTTGACTTCCTGGTGCACTTGTTTCTTTTGTTTGCGGGGGTCTGTTTGCCAGCTCCCCTCATGGATTCGAATTCACTGCGTGGTTTTTGATGATCATGTCTGAAGTGTGTGCGCGCGTGAAAGGGTGTCAAGCACATTGGCAGAGCCGCACCCCTGCCCTTGAGCCCAGCTCTAGCAACCTTGCAGAGTTTGATCAGGGGCGTCGAAGTCCTGAGTTTTTGACCAGGACTTTGCACAGGCCTGTGCGGACGCCCAGCTCAGTTTCGTGGACGCGCTCCCGGAGAAGTACAACACCTTTGCTGCTCGGGCAGCAAACCCCGCGCTTTCGCCCGGGCAATCCACGAGTTTCTCGAACTTGTGCCACTTGATGTCCAAAAACATCAGGGGATCCCTCAACTTCCCTGTAGACCTAAGTGGCAAGTTCGTTGGAACCTATGGGGCTGTGGCTCAAAGTCACCCCTCCAAAACCCGCAGGTGGCGGTCGTTTCGCGCGTTTTTCGCCCCGCCACTTGGGGGCTGGCCACTCGTGAGGTGGGCGCTGGGGGTGGCCAGCTCTCCGGGGGTCAGAAGCAGCGCATCGCCATCGCCCGGGCCTTGCTGAAGAAGGCCTCCTTCCTCTTCCTGGACGAGGCGGGGGGTCCGTTTTCGCCGACAGGGAATCGATTTCACTACTGGACATATGTTTTCGCTTTTTCCAGCGGGCGAAAATGCAAATGGAATCAAGGAACGCCATAAATTTCCGGTTCTTCCGAACCCAGGTTGAGGTCGGAGTCCTGATTGGCTATCAGAATGTGCCTCTGAGAAGCAATACCTTCCGCAAGGGGTCGATTCCTGGGTAGATGGCGGCGAACATCGCACGCATCTCCGCCATGTGGAATACTCCTCGGTTTGGGTGGACCCCGAAGCCACGGTTTGACGAGCAGAGGTCTTTTTGTGGTTTGGGTAGATGGTCTACCCCGAAGCCAGGTTTTGATGAGCAGATTTCCCTTTGCCAAGGGTAACACTGACTTTGTGATATGTCCCCTGAGCCCCGTTGAGGTCTATCTTGAAGCTATACATATGGGTTTGTCACCTTAGGGAAACTCCCCAACACTGGGTGGTTGTGCTTTGGTGAAGGGTTGAATTTTAAAATTGTACCTTTGAGAAAGACACGTCCCGTTTGCGATTGGGACTTGCACCAGGTGTCCTTAGCGAAGCAAGTCGCCTCAGGTCAAATCGACTTGGAATCTTTGCGATGCTTGGCTTCTGGTCATTCGAAGGCGTCAAGTCCTTGGCATGCGCCAGTCTTGTTGATGAACGTAGCCTCAATGCCTTACCCTCTCTACCACTTTTTTTTGTTGGTGTGTTGTTTTGTTTGTTTTTAGATCAGCGTATATATGTTTGATTTATTTATTTTTAGATCAACATAATTTCCATCTTGCCTTCGCAGCTTTCCGGGCAGGCCACCAGCGCACTGGACAACACCTCGGAGAAGATGATTCAGCAGACCATCGACGACATCAGCTCGAAGTCCGACCGCGGCCTGGGCATCGTGAGCATCGCCCACCGCCTCAGCACCGTGCGCAGCTCGTCTGGGAGCCCGCTTCTGCAAGCCTTTCCGGGCCGCAGCAAAAACGACCCTCCAGCCACTTTTGGGGTCTGGACCAAAGTTGGGTGGCAAACAACAAAAGCGTAGATACTTTTTGGCCAAAGTGCGTGCCGGAAGTTGTTCGGGGGTAGAGAGGCCAGCCTGAAGCCTCATTTGTTTGTTTTGCTTGGGCTTGCTTTGATGGGACTGCCATGGACTGCCGCTCCGGAGCGGCGTCTCTGGCGAATCTTGTGTTTTGAGCAACGGGTAGCGTGTTGGATTGTGGAGTGACTAGATGGCTGACTACTTTGAAGCATGCAGAAACATTTTTCATGACAAAGACTGGTTCAGAGACTTGCCCCATGCTGCCCTCAAAAGCTGCAGCTTCCATGTTTCCCTTTCGACATTCCGAAGGCTCCAAACCCCAAGTTTTCGGTGGGTTTTCCAGATCACCCAGTCGCCCAAAGTCTTAGTGAGAGCTATGGGGTCTCAGATGATGGTCGGGAGGCTCAGTTTTGTGCATTGCTTGCTCCCGGATGGGCCAAACGGCTGCTGTTGACCTAAAAGCAGTTCCTAAACGAGGCTAAGAGCAACTAGCTCCGAATTTCCAGCCTATCCCAAAGCAATGTGAAGGCAATGCGGACCTCATCTACGTGCTGAACCGCGGCAGCCTGGTGGAGCAGGGGAACCATGCATCGCTGATGGAGAAGAAGGGCGCCTACTACGCGCTCGTGGCCACGCAGGACAAGAGCAGAAGTTCTGGACTCATGTTGACCCCATTTTAATCAACGCCAGCTGATTCGTAGGGTGGAGGCGCCTACCCAGGGACACTGCCCGATTAATAGACTGGGGTTGATGAATATGGGATCAACATTACCCAGAAAATTGGCTACCCCAAACAAGCTTGCCCTTTCTTCTTCATGGCCACTGCCGGTCTGGGACGTGGCGGGGTAAGATGACACATGAAGCCCGTGGGATGAGTTTCAGGCGCGCAGGGTCCATCCGTTTGAGGCCGCCGAACTGCACCACGAAGCTCCTAAGGACACTTGACGGTTCCTGAGGCAGTTCGAAGAAATGGGACCGCACGTCACGGTTTTCCGAGGAGAGGTGATTTTGGGGGGCGTCCGACGCTTAAAGAACTCCTCAAAAGGCTGTGCTCAAAGGGAAAACAAGCAGGAAGCCACATTTTTTGTTTCGCCCTGTATCGTGGGAGCACCCTCATAGGTCATAGTGCTTGTTACATGAAGTTTGTTCTGTGACAAGACTTGTCAGGATTTTTGATTTGGACCCTTGGTTTCATTGTGTATGGCTGGGTTGGTGAAGCCTCTGGATTACTCCAGGCTCCTGATATCTCTCATGGAAATTCGGTTACTCAGGCACCATCTGTTTCAGCATTCGTTTGCTTGCTTGTGCTCAGTCGGGCATGAGGGAATGCACCTGGGGGTCCCCTGAAAGGACTCCACCGTTGCATGGTTTCCCACATTCCCTGCTGAGCACCCGCAAGTCAACCCCATGTGCTTCCCGCTCTCCAAACCAAAGCCCCGAAACCCTCTACAAAAGCCAGGGGTTCAAATCCCCACCACTCCAAACCAGTCCAGGGTGACTCAAGTGACGTTTCTGCGCTCGTTCGTTCCGGTCCCCACGTACCGTGGGTGGACGAAATCCATTTCGCACCGCCTAAGAAGTCCTAGAATGATTCGATTCCCCTGTCAATACCCACGAAAAAAATGGTTTCAACCATGGTTTCAAAGCGGTGCGACATGGAGTTCGTCCATCCATAGTAGGAAGGCATCCCCTTTCTTTTTTGAGTCGAACAACCATCGCGAATTCGAACGCATCAGGAGAGCTCGCAGAAGGCCGAGGAGGCGGGAAAGGCGAACCAAACCAACAGCCCCCGAAAATTCGTCAAACCGTTCTTCTTCTTTTTTTGAACCATCATTGATTTTCCCTTTCTGTTGTTTTAAGGAAATCGATTTCACTACTGGAACTAGTTTTGTTTTGTTTCTTCTTTTTTTCCGGGGGTCTTAAGCAAATGGATTCATGTGCTTCGAGATGCACTGCGTTTGGTTTTCTGGATGTTAGGACTTTAACTTTTTGCCAACTAACGGGTTTTCCATTAAACCACCAAAAGTTAAACTTTTCGCAGGGGAGCAGAACGCAACCTAAGAATATCTTTGTTTTCCCTTTCGGGTTTTAAAGGGAATCTACCACCACTGGATTCCTTTTTGTTTTCAGGGGGCTTACGCGAATGGATTCATGGGCATCAAGCTGCACTGCGTTTTTGGTTTCCTTGCGGCCGTCTCAGGCAGAGGTGGTGACCACGGAGCACTCCAAGGCGCTGCTAGCGCGCCAGGATTCCGGGCACAGCGACGAGTCCCAGAGCAAACGGAAGCAGAGGCCAACGAGCCAACGAGATCCGGGGGGGGCAGAGGGGAAGGGAGCCGGCTGAGATGAACATTTCTTGATTTTCTTCCTGGTGTTGAAGGTAATCTGTCACTGATTTGTGCTCTTTGGGACTTGAGCACATGGAAGGCGATCTATTTTGGGTAGTTCCCCAGTTTTAGTTCCGCTCCGAGAGAAGCCGGAGACGAGATGAGTTGACAAGTCGTCAAGTCGATTGGATGCGGGATGTCGGATGCTGGTTGGAGTTTGAGCGGATGGACAGATGTCGGACGCCCGTATGGCCGAGATGCGTGCCGATGATGTGCTGAGTGGTTGACTCGATCCCCAGATTTCTATTTGTGAAGTTGCCCCTTGCTTGTCAGCTAGAGACGGTGTTCTGCTGTACAACAGACGCAGCAAGGCAAGACCCTTGAGCAAGAACTCGCTTGCTTGAGTTCGAAGGACCGTATGGCCAGTCAAGCGGCCTTCCCTAACACGAACAAGGATGGGACAGTGGCGTGGAAGATAAAGCCATATAAGGTCCAGTCAATGAAAGGGACGGGACCCGAGAGAAGGCGGTGCTGGCAGACGTTGACTTTCTCACGATCCGCACATCTTTGTTTGAACAGCATTACGGCCTATCTCGAGACCAGAAGCAAATGCAGGATGTTTGGAAGATTAGGAGCCAGCGATTTAGTTGCCAGTCCGGGTAAAGTCAGGGCCCGTATGGCTTGTTTGCACTGATTCATCGCCGCAAGGTCAAAGAATTGTGAAGGTCAAAGCGGCGTTTTCGTTAGGAGTTCGGAGTTCCGAAGGAACGATTCCTTTGGTTTCTGACCTGCAGGGAGCAGAAGGAGGAAGAAGAGAGGGCCAAGGAGATCGAAAAGAACTACCAGGCGGGGCGTGAAACTTTTTGGTTGCGCTAGGCTACCCGTCTGTCGTGGCTTGCTTCTGCTTTGGGCGGGATTCTTGCGGGTGGCAGTTTTGTTAGCAAGCTGCAACGTCAACAATACCGCAATATGCCGGAAGTGTGATGTTGACTGGCGTGTTGCCCCCGCGAAAAGGGCCCATTATATAAATGGAAAGCCCTCTGTTAGACTCTACTAGTCATCCAGTTCCATCAATTCCAGGTGTTGGATGTTTTCAATGGTAGTGGTGCAACCTTAGCATCTCAAGCATCCCTCCATGCGTGTGTCGATGCCTTCTGACTCTTCCGACGTGTAGGCAGATGTTAACTCCGGATTGATCACGGGGGGCAGTGCCGGGGGAGTAGGTCGGAAGAGGAGGGCCATTTGGCTGTGGGTCAAAACCAATGGTACCATTTTGGGGTAGGTGCACCACCCATTTTATCCTATTTTAGTGGGGATTGGGATGTTCACTGGGGGTACGGGATTTTCACCCATGGCCATTTCATTCTAGTATTCAACGGCAAACTGTACCATAGCGGAGGTTGCGGAGGGCTTTCATCCCAAGTGGCCCCAGAGACCAAGCAATTTGAGGAAGGGCCTGGTTAGCTGAATTTGGAAAAGGCGAGGCAGAAGAGTGCCAGCACGTTAGACGTGTTGTACTGCAGAAGACCTCAAATGTTTTCTTGTTCAACTAGGTTTCCCAGTGGTGCCCTTTTACCGTTTCTTTTTTGGGTGGGAGGGTTTTTTCTACTAAAATAGACGACTCAACAAGTTGGTACCCTTATTCCAACCTCTCTACTGGAGGAGCTAGATATGGGAGGCCCCCGGAAGTGGAAGTTGCTCGCTCCCTGAGTTCCGTGTCGGACGTTCGCGCCAAGCTTTGGGCCTGGACCATAGTGGCAACCAAAGAAGTGTGGTTACTTTGCTTGGCCAATCCACTCAGGAAGTTAGTTTCACCATGAAGTTCCACAGGTCTGAGGCTCAACTGTCGTACAAGTACGATACAAGCTTTTGGTGACTGATATTGTCTTTTTTGGGCCAAGGCTTCAACGTAGTGCAGTGGATTGTTCAGGTCACTCCAGCATTCTGAGAAGTTCAGGGCCGCAGACTTTGGGTGAGAAGCGAAATTGTTACATGTTTGTACATCCCGGGTATTGGTTCTTTTTTCCTTATGTTCCCCGCTTCCCGTTTGCAGTATTTGTCGCGTGTTCTTCCAGTTTGCATTGCTTTTGAATCGAGCTGAATCGCGCCTTGTTGGCTGGGCTTGTGAAAGCAGACTCTGGTGTGCAAAATGCTCATCGGCTGCAAGCTGCGGAAGTCGTTCTTCTTCCCTTGCCTTTGTGTTATTTTGGGACGTTTGACCGCTTTCTTTGGGGATAGGCCCTAGATCTGGGGCTTGCGTTTAGGTTACATTTACATGCGCTTTACATTTTGGCTGGGCCAGGGCCCAACCCCCCAGACAGGCAGTCCGGTGTTGACAGGTGCTCTGGGCAGAGTTTTTGCAATTTCTCATGTTGCCGCCATGTTCTGTCCACATTTGTAGTTGTGTACATTGTTTTTGTTTACACTTCCTGGACCAGTTGGCCCCAGATTTACTTGGTTTTACTTTTATCCCGTAAGTTATTTCTACTTTTTCAGCCTAGTGGATTGTTACCTGTTACCTGTGTGTATTCAATTTTCCTGTGTAGAGTCAAGGGGATTCCCCCAAAGGAAACCAACTCGGATGGATGGCTTTTCTTGGGGTCATTCCATTTCTCTTTCCCTGCATCTCTCGAACCGATTGCCAGGTTTGGCTTTTGATACGACTGGCAAGTGTCGGGTTCACCTCCGTCGTAGGTGCCCATGGGCCGGTTGCTGAGCTACAACAAGCCCGAGTGGCCTCTGTTCGTGCCGGCGATTCTGGGGGCCTTGGTGGACGGCGCTTGCATGCCGGTGTGCACCATTGCTCTGGTGGGGTCCATGAACTCCTTCTACAAGGCCAGGGGAGAGGGGGTGCCAGGGGCAGGGGGGGGGGGGCCTGGCTGGCGGGGAGAAGGGGGGGAGGGGGGGGGCACCCGATTTTTCTCGTTTGTTTTTTCTCCGGGCGGGGGGGAAGGGGTGGATCCTTTGCCCGTCCTTTTTTAGGTTGCAGCCCTGTAAAATAGCGGTTGTCCTGTTGGTTGCCCGAACAAAGTAAATTGGGGTACCCCCCGAAAAGTCACACCCATTTGTTTTGCTTTCCCTTTGGCTGTTTTTTTTCCCGAGGGGGGGCTGAAGCAAATGGAGCAGGGAGGTGGGGGGTGTTGAGGGATTTGGAGCCAAAGTACTGGTTCTTGTTTGTTTGTCAAGTTTGTGAGGGAGGAGGGGTTCAGGGGTTCAACTTGACATCTGTTTTTGTGTGGTTCGCCCTCCAACACCCCCTCGTTTCGTCCAAAGGGAAGAGAGTCTCGGGGTGGGTTGGAATCCTATATGAAGTGGAACCTACAAGGCGCATGCCTTGCTTTTTGCCGCGAGAAAGGAGAGCTTCAAGTTGGTGGTGGGTGAAAGGTGGGTTCATGGCTGGTTTAGGGTTCTGAGAGATTGAAGTGGTTTTAGATGTGGGTTGTTTTGGGCCAGGCGCTTAGGTGGGGTTAGGGTGGGTTTAGTGTGGCTTAGTGGGTGTCGAGCGGGCTTTTTGGTTGGGGCGTTCTTGAGCGTGTTTCTTGTGTTGGTTTGTTTTTTGTTTGGTCTAGACAAGAGAGCTAGTTTGTGGGAACCGACCTGCAGCGTGACCTAGTCGGGAGGAAAGGTACTTAGCGGCACATTTGGTGCCTTTTTCGAGTTTGACCGCCAGTTGCGGGACAATCCCCTGGCTGATTCGCCTAGTGTCCCATATTAGAAGGAATCCGGGTCACTTGGGCGGACCACTCCGAATCAATCTGACAGGTTCTACTTGACTCCGGGTTCAACAAACAAAACATCCTATGCGGCGCCTCAAAATCGGACAGAACGCCATGCCACTTTGGCATGGCGCTCCTTCGGTTTTCCTTTGGTTTGGTACCTAGAGGCTCCAATTCGATTGATGTAGGGCCTTCAAAGAACCTTGGTTTTGAGACCCCCAACCACCTCCAGGGTGTCTAATGGAGGGGTCGGGACTACAATTGAAAGCCTCAGGAGCCTCTGGGTAGCCGCCTCTTAGGGTGATTGCATTGGGCTTGGAAAGTCTCGCGTGACCTCCATGGCCAGACGGACAAGGAGGAGATGCGTGCCGACCTGGAGCGCCTTGGTAAGAAAATGCCTCATGGCTTGCTGATCTGCACGGTTTCTGGGGTCAAGTCAGAGCCTGGGCTCTTTCCTTTCCTACTGTGGATGGACGAAATCCTGCACCGCGTATGTATTTACAGAGACATCATCATTCCAGGGGCTCAAAGGTATCTGTGACTGAGGATGTGAGGTAGCTGTGGCCGAAATACCGGCTTCTGGAAAGCAGGATAGTTATTCAGACCGTCGCAGAGGTTCTCAAACAGAACGTAATCAGGATCCGTAGCATTCCCCCAGGTGTTTCAAGGGGCAGTTCAGCTTATCCACATGAATGGCAGGTCCCACACATGTCACTCCGCTGGGCCATTTTGTGGCAGTGGCAGGTCATGGATGGTGCTGTGCGATTTTTTGAATTAGACATATGGGTGTGTCTTGTGTTGGGGGACCCTGCAGAAGGCTGGTTTTCTGTTGGTTTCCCTTCAAAGCGAAAGGGGTACGCTCAAAAAAGAGACACTCATATTTGCCTGTGACTGAGCATGTTTCCGGCATGCATGAAACAGCCAGCGTTTTTGCCAACAATGCCAGCATTGAGCGTAAGGAAAGCCGTACCCAAAACATATGGCCGCGTTGTGCGCTCCTTTAAGGCGTTTCCGAATGATACGCACAAGAATAATTCGGGGGCGGGGGGGTCTGGGTTCCTTTTGCTTTGTGCTGTGTTGAAAAGGGGGGTTGCCTTATTTTGAGAGCCCGAACTGTGGTGTGCGCGGCTTGTTCCCGTTCGCCGGAGTTCCCAGTTCCCGGCCTCCGCAAGTCCCTTTGTTGCGCAAAGAGTGGGGCGGTTGCAACGAGTTCCCATGGAGCCATGGGGGGGGTTGATCAATATTCCTGGGTTTGGTTGAAAGGAAAGCGCAAAGGAAAAGCCGCTTTTTTTGTTCTTTGGGGGTCCCCTAAAAACGACAAGGCTGGTGTCTGGGTTTCCTACAGAACCAGGTAAATGGATCTGCGCCAGACACCGGGTTTCTCGGTTGTAGTGGGAAATGTCATCCTTTTAGTGGTTTTTCTAATGGTCATCCCATGTAGAGGACCTTTTGATCAACCCCCGTGTTTTTTTTTCTCCCTCCCCTTTTTCCAGGGCCCGTTTGCTCAAATGGAACTCCATTTTCCCGCAACGGCGAGACCGTTTCAACATGGACGACGGAGAAGTTCAGGGTCCGACCTGGCTTTCATGGGTTGGTAGGTCCCATGCGCAACTCAGACCGCGGGCACATGTTTCGTAGCGGGCGGAATTTCCTGATGTTTCCCTTGGAAGGATCCAAGCACCCAGGTCTTTCGTGCTTGTTTTTGCCTTTTAAAAGCTTTCAACCGGACCGCCTTTTTTCTTTCTCGAGATGAGCAAATTTTTGTTTTTTCGAGATTGCCTTTTAGAAGCTTTCAACCGGACCGTTTTTTGGTTTTCCCCAACAGCTGAAAGCTTTGGGGTCTCAGCCCAGATAGGCTCCGGGGTGGTCCGGGGTGGCCTGAGGTAAGGTTCCACGAGGCTTCCACCAGGGTGCAAGCGCCGAAAAGAGCACCGCATGCTGTTGGGGATATCACCTGAGCTCTTTTTTTTTAGATGAGCCGAGTTTTTTTGTCAGGCTCCAGGCGCTCATTTTTGTGATCATCGGCTTGAGCTGCCTCATTGGCTCCACCATCTCCCACGGCTGCTTCGCCATCCTCGGGGAGGCGAGGGCTGACTGGACGGCGGAAGCGTCGACGTATGGGGAAGCAGGGCCCGAGGTTTTAGTGGGCTTTTCCAGGGCTCAGAGGCGGATTCCAGTTGTGAAACCCATAGGCTGGTGCTTTTTGTCGCTGTTGTCTTTTTTGCGGGGAAGGCGCGAGGATTTCAGCTGAGACCATGCCAATTTGCGGGTGCCCACAATGAAAAATATATGGAAGTGGATCGGTGGACCGTCGCGTTGACCTCGGCACAGGCTGGATGTATGCAGTTTGACTACGCTGAAGTGATGCAGGGGGTTGATTTTCACGTTGCTTGCAACTGTTGCCGCCATTGGTTTAAGAACAATCGGCCAAAAGCGCTAGCACAGGAGAGTGCAACTGACCTTGACAATGGAATCTGGGCAAATTGCTTATTTCAGGATTGTAACTGTTAGGCGGTAGTTTGCCCAGACTAGCCATCCAGAACCTTCTTCAACCTCAATGGCGATGGAATGACCCAGGGTGTTGGGAATGAACCTAAGATTTACCTTAAAGGAAACCATAGGGGCTGGTTTTTCTTGAGGTCATTCCAACTCCTGTCGAACCAGCAAGTCAGTTCCCTTCCTGTGCTTTAGTCACTTCTTTTCGTGTTTGGACCCATTTTGGTGGCAAGCAACAAGTTTGGTATGTAGACAACCAGTTCGGTCACGTTTTGGGCCCATCCACGGTGAGCTCTTGGCAACCTTGGGGCTCTTGGTTCAGAGTTCCGCTTTTGCCAGGCCATGACTCAGCGACTGCGGGTGGCAATTCTCACCTCCATGTTCCGGCAGGAGGTGCCTGCGGGGTGCGGCTTGAGTCAAAGTCGAAGGATACGAGACCCACGACCAAGTTGCTTTTTTTGAAACGGGAGGCCGGGCCGTTCCCGGCAAAGGAATTCCCCCCAGAAAAGGCCGGACCGAGTTTTTTTTTTGTTGGCTGGTTTTTTGACGCAAACTGGGACTGGGTTGCTGCCATGAGGGACTGAACTTTGGAAGGTTCGGGACCAACTGGACCGGGCGCACGATCTGTCCAGGTGCAGATGCAGACGCATGGATGATACAAGTTCACACTGCAGGGTATCTGGCCTCAACAGATCGTTGGCTCCTGTTTGAAGGGATTTGAGTGGCGACAAGGATCCGAATGGACAGGATTGGAGCGAGTCCCAGCGGTCATGAATTCTTCAATATGGGGGTAGACAGCCGGGTTTAGAGTTGATTTGAAACACCCTGGTTTGTAAGGGCTTCGTCTGTCAGGGAGTCTTGCAAATCGGAGGGCGCCCCACTGGCACCCCCTTTTTGGGGAGGTGGTTCTTGCACGAGCTCGGAATTTCAGCCACCAATAGGACCCGGCAAAATGGTGATAACCTTTTGGTTGCCCATTTAAAACCACCAAGCGTAGTCGATTTAGGAGCAGTTGGTTTCAACATCGGGTCTCGCTTTGAGTAATGGCAGGGCACATATAATATATATGGTACCAGCAATGTCCGGCAGAGCCGGGGAGAAGTTTCAAAACGCAAGAACTCTAATAGGAGTTTGGAGCACGCTTCATTTCCCCTTCTTTCTCTCTCTCTCTCTGTCTCTGTGTCTTTTTGTTCTTCCTCTTTCTCTTTATTTATCTCTTCGTTCCTTTTCTCTTATTTCTCTTTCTGTGTATTTTTATCTTCTTGCTCTTGATCTTTCTGTTTTTCTTTCTTTTCGTTCTTTCAGTTCTTTCTCTTGAGCTCAAAAACGTAAACAACCACAAGTTGTTTGAGGGCGACCCATCAAAAGTCTGCAGAGTCGAGCCATCGAACGGCAGAGGGTCACGCGAGCGAAGTGAAAAACGTAAAACCACACACCCGCCCGCCCACACGCGCCCACGCACCTATGCAGCCATGCACCCACGCACCCACGCACGCACAAAAACACGCACGCGATTGCTTTAAGGTCGACCACGCGAAAGTCCGCGGAGGGTTGCGTGAGCAAAGTTAAAGTTCTGGAAAGACAAGTTGTTCAGGGTCAGTCCACTTTTTGAAGGTTGCGAACCAGAGCGCGGCCGTGCCTGCCACAGAGCGCGTCTCCGAGACCACTCGGCACCCCCGCGCCCCTGCACCCGCCTCCGTATGGGTGTCGCAAGCTAGTGGTTTGCACACTTGCCAAGGAGCTGAATTCATGCATATGGCAGTGGCTCAAATAAACGTACCAAAATGGCAACTTGGCAAATGGAACCAAAGACCAAAACCTGCGTAACCCTAGCAGCTTAATTTTGAGCCACACCCATATGGCCAACGTGGCCGCCTCTTGCTATTCCCAGTCTCCGCCCTTTCTCCAGCCGTTTTGCGGCTTGTTCACGTGCGGTGCATCTATTTTGAAAGATCCTTCTCAGTCTCTTTCGTAGAGAGAGAGAGAGAGAGAGATAGCCTCGATCAGTTCCAGTACTACGGAAGTTCCTTCTACACTTTCTTCTCTTCAACAATATGGCTATGCAAGTTTTAATGAGGAATACCCTCCCACGTGGTTGGACAGAAATCCCGCCCTTTTTTGATGTCCAGTTGAACTCCTACCACTTATCCCATCCCGCATAGGTGGGCTTCCACGACAACCCGGACAACAGCCCGGGCATGCTCTCCAAAGCTTTGGAGCTCTGGGCCTTCCGCGTGGCCACCTTGTGCAAGTCCGTGCAGGTGCGCCCTCGAACGCCGCACGCGAGAGAGCCATGAGTTGCGATGTCCGAAACGTTGAGCGAAAAGGAGCTTGAGATGTTTGGCTTCGGAAGAGCCAAGAGCAAGTGCTCAGGATTGTCCCAAGGTTTTTTCTTTTTGCTGAGAAAGCCTCACCCTTTGGATGTGACGCTAGGTATGTGAGCAACCCTGCAAGAAGCGCCAGAAGGGCTTCACTGCCCAACAAGGGCCCTTCTCTAAATCCCAGCCCCCTTTCCACCAAGGCCGTGATTCTCAAACCGAAACAACCTTCACGCGTGCTTTCCAGGCGAAGGCCGCAGCCATGAGCTCCATGGTCGTTGGTATGACCTTGGCATCTTGGCAGAGGGCTTGTGAAATTCGGGGACTTTTTGGGGTAGTTTCCCTTTGCCCTTCCGGTGATCCACGGCCATTTGAGGAGCTTGGGGGCCTTGGCAGGCATTCACTTTCATGTTTTTTTTTGGCCGCACTTTTGCGGATGTGTTGCAATGTGTCAACACAATCCAACTTGTTGTGACACATCCATTTCAGAGGTTTCACTGCAAGTGCACTCATGAAGCGAGGCAGATGAGTATCCTTCATGATTGCCTTGATTTGTTCAGAGGAAGGAGGACAGATGAGAAACCCCCACCCGCGTTGCAAAGGCTGCCCTCGGACCCGTCGTTCTTTTGAACAGCCACGCTTGCTTGGCCCAGGGCCTCCCCTTTCGTTTCGGCTCGCGGGTTCGCGGGGCCCCGCTTTCGCGCACCAGGCTCACGTTCTCCATGTGAGTTCGACCAACATGAGGCTCAAAAAGCGCCAGTAACGCATGGGGCGCTTGCGAATCGCGAGGGTCCACAGCTCTTATGCGCGCATCGCTTTGGAATGGGATCGGATCCATGGCCTGAAACCCCACTCGGCCACTCCACGCCCGATGGCGGTTGAGACTTGAGGCCTTTGCCTACTGCTGGCAGATGGCGCTGATCATGTTGGGTTCGATCCCCATCATGATTGTGGCCAATGCGATCCAGATGTTGGTTTTGCTGGGAGCGACCAAAAACGAGCGCCTCAGCCTTTTTTTTAAATGCGCGTCGTTGTGTGGTTTGCAGGGCTGCCACAAATTGAAGTCGAGTTTCCTTTAAGTGGGCGGTGCACGTAAAGACCATCAAAGTTGCCGAAATGGGCGCTTTTGTTTAGAGAGCCTTCCATTTGCTCAAGAAGGTGTTTTTGTTTTCCCCCATTGGCTTTTAAGGGAATCTATCACTATTGGACATGTTTTTATTTTGTCCAAGGGGCTTAAGCCACTGGAAAGAACCCGATGTCTGGGTGGGTTTTTTGAGGGACAGGTCAAAGGAAGTCACCGATTTTGGGGGTCCAAACCCCTCCGACTGCGGGCCCCGTGACGCTGGGTCAATGTTTTACGATCTGAGGCATTTGGTTGCCTATTTTCTACATGAACTGTAGACATGACTTACAACCTAGGCGAAAGATCAAGATTTAGGTTGGCAAATTGTCATAGATCGCAAGAAATGCCTGCCGGGGCGGAGAGCAAGTCACATGGGCCATGCACATTCGATGCTCTCGACATAAGGCTTCGAGCATAAGCTTCCTTCGTGGATCGTCGGAGCCCTTCCGCGGGGAATTGCTTTGCGGTTTTTGAACATCATCCAGCAACTAATGCAATTTTCGCAACACATGGATTCGGTGTTGATTCGAACATGGAGGTTCTATTCACCGCTTGGGGTTGGGGAGATACCCAATGCGTGTTGCTCACCACCTGTCTTGGCGTTCTGGCATTCTCAGGAACGAAGACCTGACCCATGCGCAGCAGATTGTTGTGGACTCGGTGATGAACGCTCGCACGATTCAGGCGGAGCCGTCTGACCAAAAAGCGATCGCCTGTTGCCCGGTGGCTCCAACCAAAGGGACACCATCTATTCGGGCATTGCAACATCCGCCTGAGCATGTTCACAAAGCAGACCCCTGGACAATTATATACATATGTGTACGTGTATGTATGGATTTGCTTTAAAAAACACAAAGTTATTGGATTGCTGAAATGCATAAAGGCCCCAATAGATTGTAGTCGACCCACAGACAAGCCAGCGGTTGCCCCAGAGGCGAAGCCCAGCTTCGGCCTTGTCCTTTTCAGTTCACCGCCCTCGCCCAAAACACCTCTCCTCCCCCCAAGACATACCCATTCCCCCTAACCCCCAACCCCCTAAACCCCCTCCTTAACCCCCTTAACCTTGCTGGTGCTCAGCAAGGGAATGAGGGAATGACTCCGAGAAAAACCCATCCGTGGCTTCCAATCTCTCACCTCTCGACGTTGTTTGTCTTGTTCTTTTTTCGAGGCGCTGGGGGTCGAGAAGTCCTTGGTGGAGATGTACATGGGCTGGGTGGACAAGTCCGCCGTGGGCATGTGGTCCCGCAACACCTTCGCCGGCATCGGCTTTGGCGTCTCTACAGGCGAAAGTTGGAAGCCGCGCCGCGTGCAATGGATTTTTCTCGGGTGAAAGTGGTATCAACCATTAGCTTGGTGCTTCCCAGACATTCTGCTCCTTTGGTTTTCAGCATTTTAGTTGGTTTGGTGGTAGTTTCCCTTTTAACCCACTAACAGTTAGACTTGCAGGGGATCTGAGCAAAGCTCAGTTAAACTCACGGCCCCGAACCGATGGTTTTTGTTGGGTTCTTTTGTTGAATATGCAAATGCTGAATGTTAGAACCCACTTGCAGCATCGAGAAAGTTGCGCCTCAAGTCGAGAATGGGAGCTGGGGTTTTGCATGTCCGCACACACACACACACTCACACACTGAAACACTCAGACACACAAACACACAAATACACTAATACGCAAACAAGCAAACACGC